AAGGTGTCCCAGCATCTTTTTTATATCATGGTGACCAGAATCGGACACAGTATTCCAAATGTGATCTCACCAGTGCAGTATAAAAACATTACAATCACTTGATATGATTTTGATGCTAACCCTCTTGATACAGCCTAGGACTGAATTGACTTTTCGGTAGCTGCGGACACTGCTGGCACATACTTAAGTAGTGGTCCACTAGGACTTCTGTATCTTTTTCTCAATTACTACTGTTGAGCCAGGTACCACTATTCTATGCCTGTGCATTTGGTTCTTCCTGCCTAAGTGCAGGACCTTATTTTTCTCACCACTGAACTGACCTTGTTGGATAGAGCCAAATGCTCAAGCCAAGATTCTTCTGAATCTTGAATCTAGAGCACTGTGGTGGGTTCTGGCTGGTTCACTCCTGTGTGTGTGCATGTGCAGTTCAATTAAAATTAAAAAACAAAATGGCGATGGTGACGGCAGCGACCAGGGAACCTGTTTGGGGGCATGGCAGGCCTGGGTCGCTGCCGATTCCAGCAACCCAGGCCAAACTGGGCTGAACCGGTAGGAAGCCATCTCTGCACTAGGCCCAAGTCAGAACACTGAGGTACCCCACTGCATGTTTCCCTCCATATAGAGATAGTTCCAGCGAGGACTACATGTCACAGCAAGCTGTGAATCCATCTGATGGTGGTACTGTCTATCCCACATTGTTCTGTCTTACCAAGAAATAGGCTGTGGTCTATTTTGTCAAATGTCTTACTAAAATGCAAGCATACTATACCCACAGCATCTTTTTTACATCATGGTGACCAGAATAGGACATAGTATTCCAAGTGTGATCTCACCAGTGCAGAATCTTGATGCACAGATTCAGTCACAATATCAAAGGCGGCCATAAGGCTGGTTTGGCATTATTTGATTTTAATAACCATATGCTGGTTTCTAGTGATCACCTTATTCCTTTCTAAATGTTCATAAATCCACGGCTTGATTATCTTTTCCAGGATTTTCCCAGGTATTGATGTCAAGTTTTGAACTGAGCCATTTCCCAGCAGGGTTTCTTTGTAATTACCTTTTCCGATGTGGTTTCGGGTGTTTTCTATGGAAGAATTCCTGCCAATATTAGAGAGAAATCCAAGGCAGAAGCGGCCCTTGTTTGAAGGATCTGTAAAGCCATCTATGAGTATACTTCGAGAAAAGGCCTGAAAAGTCTCTCCTACTCTCTTATTGAGTTCGTAATAGGCAATTGAGCACCACTGATCTGGTTCCTCATAGCTCACAGGTTGGGCATCTGGAAGAAGGTTTCACAGGTGTATATAGATAGAAATGCAGTAATAGCAATGTGGTTTGTTTCATATCCAAATACTCTCTTCGCATACACATTTAAAGAGCTGGCATTGGCAGGACAGAAAAGATATAAAGGCTAGTCCTTGATTTATGAGCAAAATTGGGACTGAAAGTTTCATTGCTAAGCAATATATTCATTAATGAATCACATCTGTCTCAAGATTTATAAACTCTCCCCTCCCCCACCCAGTTGTTAAGCAAATCATTGAAGTTGTTGAGTGACTCATTCAGTTGTTAAGAAATCTGGCTTCCCTTATTGATTTTGAAAGAAGCCCACTAGGAAAATTGCTAATGGAGATCATGCAACCCTGAGATGGTGCAACTGTCATAGATACATGCTGGTAGCCAAGTGCCCAAATTCTGATCAAGTGGCCATGGCGATGCTGCAATGGTCATGTGCAGGGACCAGCATCATAAATCTTTTTTTTTCAGTTGTTAAATGAATGGTCATAAGTTGAGAATTACTAGAAAGGACAATGAAAAATAATGCAATAAAATTAGTATGTTGTATCAATTAGTGTAATTAACTGAGTGTGTTACTTTCAAAAAGTGAATTTCATCATAGCAATCAAATATATTTTTATTACTTTATTTACTTTTATCCTACTTTTATATGTAACTTAAGGCAGTGAACCTATCTAATACTCCTTCCTCATCCTATAATGTTTCTATTTCAATCTAGGGTTTGACTAAATATGGAATATATGCACTGTTCTGTTGTCATCTCAAAGAGTTTTTCTTAACTTGGAACAGCACAGGAAAAAATGAATGGCCTTTTAGTGTAAAATAAGGCAAGCAATAGGAAAACATGATTTATATAAAACCATTGGTAGCAAAATATTCTTCCTTCCACAAGATTAGAAACTCTGGGTCATACTCAGGAATGAATGGCCGATGTTTTTCTTTCTACGAGGCATAATTAATTGATGGTCTTTCTTGTTAACAAATAAAGCCAGTATCTTCAACAACACTAGCAATAATCAAACCAAGTTAAACCTATTCTGGTTTCAGTCTACTAAATGGAACTATTTTGGCTAAGAGCCTTTTGGAGGAAAACCCAATCATTCATGGGCTCATGGGCAGATATTTCCCTAGGGGAAAAGTACAAATCTTGACATACCTACAGGTTCTCCAGCTTTACCTCCACTGGGCAATGGTGGTATTGATGAACTGCTTGGGACTTCCTGTGCAGGGCATTCATTGGGCTTTTGTGGCATCTCTTTGGCATTAGAAGGCAGAAGAGATGTGGCAGCTGAAAAGAGAAAGCTATTTTATGAGCAGCCTATATAAATAAAAGGAGATGACCTCAGAGACAGTAGATATTTACTAAGCAAATTGTATTACTGCATTCAGTCAGATGCTTGCCAATGTCTTGCCATGCATACAAAGCTCAAATTTCCAAAAACAGCATTGTGTTAACGCTTCTCTTGATTGTATGAATAAATCACCTTAAGGTATACCCCGATTTTGTTAACAAGAGTTCAGGAAAGCACACATACTATTTTTTCGTACCACAAAAATAAATAGACTGGGCTGAGCAAATGGCCCAAAGTCATCCAGCTCTTCTGTGCCTAAGAGAACTGAACTGATCGGCTTGCTCTGGTTTGACATTTTCATCAATTATTCCTTTTTGTTACTGTTGCTTTTATAATGCTGTGTTGCAACCCGTCCAGAAGCTTCAGAGCTGATTGAGCTATTAAAAAACTGTATAAATAAATAAATAAATAAATAAATAAATAAATAAATAAATAAATAATAAATATGTCATTCTCCAACCCAAATTCACAAAATTAATACAGCTGCTACTACCAGAATTGCATGAATTTGTAGGTAGCATTGAATAGCAATAGCACTTAAGACTTATATACCACTTCACAGTGCTTTACAACCCTAAACGATTTAGAGTCTCAGCATATTGCCCCCAACAATCTGGGTCCTCATTTTAGTGACCTTGGAAGAATGGAAGGCTGTCAACCATGAGCCTGGTGAGATTCGAACTGCCAAATTGCAGGCAGCNAAAACATGTTTCTCCATTTCTTATCCAGGGAAATATAATATTCTGCCTTTTCAATATTTCCCAGGATATTTCATTTTTCTAGAAGAGGGGTGGGTGCCAACTTCCTACATTATGATACGTAATTTAATGTGATACTAATTTGTGCTCAAGAAGGAAGATAGCTGTGCTCTCTAGACTGGGCTGCCTTGAAAGGGGAAGGCAGAGGTATGTTGATCAGAAGAAATGCTGATTCCTGGGATTCCTTGGCAGGAGGAGAGAAATCTCTTGTTAGCCAGACAGCTATTGTAGCAGTGAGAAGGAGCAAGCGGGCATGGTGGAAAACCCAGCTTGTATCAGGAGGCTGCTGCTTGATCAGCCATATGACAAAGTGCCATCTTGGAGCCTCTTTTTCTTTTCATCCGACACTTAGACTGTGGCCACCTGGTGTCTGCAGTGGAGTGGAGACCCCAAAGCAGTTGGATTCCCTGATGGGAAAGGTCTGGAGTGGCCATGACCACCTTGTGGACAGGCTGTTTGGGGAATGGGCTGAGTGGGGCTGACATTTCTTGCCAGTTGATGAGAGATGGGGGGCGGGGAGGGTGTTCCCTGCAAGGCTGGTAAGTGAGGAAGATGACAACTGTTGCACAGGCTGCACTGGCTTCCAATTTCTAACAATTCAAGGTACTGATCATCACCTTCAAAGCCCCATATGGCACAGGGCCAGGCTCTCTGCAGGACTACCTTTTCTGAAGGACAACTACTAATCCTACCAGGTTCAGATAGGGCAGACACCCTGTCGGGCCTGCAGCCATCTTCCTTTTGGATCTTTGGCCTGCCATACTTTCTATTATTCCACTATGCATTTTCTATTGTGGGAAAATGGGGGTGGGCATTGTACGGAGTTAGATGATATGTAGCCATAACAACATTCTTTTTAGAAAGCCAAGGTCATCCTTTGTCTCTGCACCTCTGCACCTGACCGGAACTGGAGGGGTGGAACTGCCAGCCGTGGGAGATTGAACCTTGTGATGGACTGGTGGGTGTGGGGCAAGATCTTGAACTTTCAACTGGGTGGGGAAAACTGAAAAGCTTTTAGATTTGGGTTTTCCCTGATGTGCTAACATGGCTCTCTTAATAAATTGGAACTTTGAGCAATACTTTGCCTTGGACTCTGATTTACTTTTGGATGCTATTATAAGTTTTTATAAGAGTTGGCTGAAAGATGGGCAGCTATAAAAATGTTTTAAATAAATTAATAAATACTTGGAGATGGATTCTTTACCATTTTTTTTAAACACTGAAGTTGACATACATTTTTAAGAGAGAAAAAAAATGTAACCATTTAATATTAACCTATAAGGTTATTTATTTATTGTTATAAACTGAAACAAAGATTAGAACATATTAATAATATATTAATTACCTTCCACTCAGGATTATTGAAGATGACAATTATCCTCATACATTATGATTATCAATAATTAGGATAAACGGGAGGAATAAAGTCATCAACAGAACACAACAGACTACCATCTTAAATACTAAAACAGCATGAAAAACATTAACTATCAGATAAAGAAAAATGGAGAGGGGGGAAGGGAGAGAGAAAAACATCTCACATACAGTATATCTGAGGCCGTGTTTGTCCACCAGATACTGGAGACAATTCTTATGAAATGGAAGAGATGGGAACCTCTGGAGAGCCCATTTCCCGCAGCACCTTATCCAGCCATTTTAAAGCTCCATGAAGATGGATCTCCACCCAACAAGGGGTGCTGGTGATCGCCTGGCGATGGTATCCTGCTCCCCAGCCCTACAGAAGAGGCCAACAAATGGTAAAGGATGAGATGATTGTGGCTGCATTCTTCATTCTATTCAAGAAGACACTTTCTTGATTTTAGTCAAATATACCCATTACCTTTTCTTTGCATTTTGAAGTACTGAGAAGTCACACAATTGTGGATAGGATTAGGATGCATCTAATAACTGTCAGGCCTGCAGCCATCTTTTCTTTTGGATCTTTGGCCTACCACACTTTCTATTATTCTACTATGCATTTTCTATTGTGGCAAAGGGAGGGGGGAATCGTACGGAGTTAGATGATATGTAGCCATAACAACATTCTTCCTAGAAAGCCAAGGTCATCCTTTGTTTTTACATCTCTGGAAGTGCCAGCATGGCAGTGGGAGATTAGGCCATGTGATGGACTTGTGAGTGTGGGAGCAAGATCTTGAACTTTCAGCTGGGTGGGGAAAACCGGGAAGCTTTCAGATTCAGATTTTCCCAGATGTGCCAACAAGGCTCTCTTAATAAATTGGAACTTTGAGCAGTACTTTGCCTTGGACTCTCATTTACTTTTGGATGCTATTTGAAACCCTGACAATAAAAATAGGTGGACTTGGAGCAAATTGCATTAGTATTACTTCAATAACTCATACAGCATTCTTCAGCAAGGAAGAATTAAGGAAACTGAGTCTAATACAGAGTTACATCTGCCAGGCTTTCAGTTCATTAAATGATTTTTCATCTCCCTGTGGGATAGACCTGATTTCTATTCATACTTTTCCTACTTAAACCACACAATGCTGTTGTTTAAATTATGCCACTTTTTGAAGATGTAATGATTATGTAAGTGAAGTCTCTATTATATAGTCTCTCATAATGATTGAATCTTTGGTTATATTTTTAAAGTTAAACCTGAATCTGAAGAGAGTGACTGCTCTAATCACAGCACAGAAGCCTTTGTGGAATTTTAAGTCACTGATTTCTTCCAGAAATCAAATTCAGAATGAACTTCGTCTTCTAAGTTAAAACAGAGGGAAGTAGGAGAAGAAGTGGCAGAACCTGAGGGCAGAATGAAAAGAGGGAACAGCCTAGGATTCCTATGTAGCTATAAGTGAAGTAAGTCCAACCCACCCCTTGATTGCCTTTGACTCTTATCTAACTCTAACTAAGTGCTGACCATTAGCTGAAAAGATTCCTGTGAATAGGCTTTTAGCAATAAATCAGTTTCACAGAACCTTCACATATGGGCTTGGTCTTTAGCGCCTGACAGTTTGACTGTTTTGCCTTATTCATAACATTGACTAATTAGTTTAATTTGCTTTTGATGCCTTACGATTCCAACTGACTCTGCAATCCAATCTAATTTTAAGTATTGTGCTAGTCTTGTTTATTGGTTGTTCTTGTTCTGCCTCTTCATAGTGTGGCCTATGCATATTGTGCAAGGACTTCATCAAGTCCTTGACTGCTGCAAGAATGATGCATGCTTCTATTCTCACCAAGCAGGTGAGAATAGAGAACAGAATGAGCTCTCACCCTGCCTGTTGGATGACTCTGAACAGTGAAGGGAGCCATGAAGACTCCTTATTTCTTTTTTAAAAGTTTTTTTTAATTTTTAATACAACTTTATCCATATTATAGAAACAAAGTGTTGACCAGATCTTTCCTTTTACATCCTCTCATTTACATCATCCATTTTACATCATAGCTTAACTTTCAGCCAAATTGTTTTCTTCCATTATTTTCCATTTTTATACTCATTTTTTTCTTAATACATAAACATTATCTTCAATTGCCCCTTCAAACATTACACCAAATTATCATTTCATATTTTTCTATTTCTCTACTATAAGCAATGCATATCCTGTAGTTACGTTTTGACATAGAAAGGGAGACTCCTTATTTCTTGATGGAGGAGGAAGAGGAGTCATGTTTTTCAAAACAGTGCTGAGCAATCCCTGGGTTAACTAGGCCTGAAAAGAAGACCCCCAAGGTCCCTTCCATCTCTATGGTTCTAAGTTCTATGAAAAGCCCTTGGGGGCCAGAAGAACAGGTATAGAAAGGCCCAGATCCCACCTTTGCTGGAGCGGCTGTGCTGGCCTTTCCTTGATGCAGAAGTCATTCTAGAGAGGAAAGCCAATCTCTTCCCAGTGTCTGTGTCCAAGGAAGTGCACTGCAGTACCAGCAAATTTGGTCTCCAAACAATTATGAAAGCTGCATGTCTTATATGAAAGACTAATACTACCTTGTGGCTACCTTTTTCTCAATGTCCCTTTTCTGCAGTTCCATTGTATAACATTGAAAAGGCAGAAAAATGTCCCATTAATTCATTATTCCCCAACAGGTGCTTTCCTATTGTCATTAGCAGCACAGGAGGGTAATAAAATAGTCTTCCCCAAATGTGAGGCATGGGCAAGCTTTCCATGACTCAATCCGGTTTTTCTAGTTTGCAAATGCCTAGAGGAGTGACTAGCGTAGTGAAATGCCAATGTGTTGGGATATTCTAAGCTGCAAAGCCCCAAATCTTTTGCAGATACCCTAGTGATAGCAACCAAGAAATTCCTCAGTTGAGGATGCACCCAGTGCCTGTTTGAAAAAGGCTCTGGGACCATGTGAATATGATGGGGCTGCATCCCCAAAGAGCTTCTCTACAAGCTGACAAATAAAAGCCACCTCCTCTGCTTGCCTCGTCTTTAAAATATGTAGTAAGTGCAGGGCATGCACGGAGGCTCAGGGAGGGTGAAAAACAGGCCTACCAGAAGTTTGGGAAGACCAGAAATGGGCCTGTTTCTGGCCTCCAGAGGTCTTCTGGAGGCCGTTTTCGTCCTCCCAGAGGCTCGAGAAAAACAACCAGAACCCAGAGAGAGTAAAAATGCCCTCCGCCCTGGTGCAGGAGGCCAAGTAGGACACACCCACCATGGCCACACCCATCCAGCAACTAGGCAGAGAACCCCTTGCTAAAAATTTTGAAGCCCACCCCTGGCTATAATCAATTATAAAAGCAATGAAACCATCAGCAACATTCCTAAACTTGACTATTTGGAGAAAATGTATCTGAGCTTAGTGGGTCTCACTCCCAAGAAAGGAGGTGCAGGACGGCAGCCTTTAGAAATACTCTGGTTTCTCCTCAGATCGTATACATCTTTCACCTTTAGAAATGGTTTTAGCTCAGGTCTAGTTCTGTGAATCCCAAAAAGTTCAAGGAGCATGGAGATGATTTTAGACTGAGGGCTGTTCTAATATTGAAGAAATCATAACTAAGGGGATTGGAAGAGCGCTCTTGAGAAGGGCCTGGGAAAAGTAAAACATATATTCTGTGTTCAACAAGACCAATAAAAGCTCAGCTGAAAATTGCCATGACTGGAACTGGAAAGGCAGCCAGAGGAGCAGCCCATGTCTGCAGGCATGTATAGTTCATTTGGAATAATCTTGGACATAAATTTAAATTTAAAGAAATTTTTATTCCCTCTTGTTAGAGATCACTTGTAATTGAAGTCAATAGTGCTAAGAAAGTGCCACAAATTTCAGAGAGTTGTGATCATTTTTCACTTCTTACTTGTTTATGGAGAAATACAAAAATACAAAACTTAGTGCATCTCATCCTTTTAAAATGTCCTTGTAACAAAGAGGCCAATCCCATTTTTTCAGCTTTATAATTCAAGACAAAGAAAGTTCTTACTTTAACAAAGCTTATCCGGATGAAGCACATCTTGGTGAGCTCAGAGACTGCCTCAAAACCGTAGTTAACCGACTGGGAAAGCAGTTGTGCAAAGAGTAGGTTGTTAAAAATCTTCAGGTTGTATCCACTGGGGATTTTGCAAATGGTGCTTGGGTGGAGACCGCACTCACGGTTGGCATTTGAGCTCTGGACAAAAACACTGCAGTTGCTCAAACACTCAACAAAGACCTCTCCACCTACATAATACAGGTGGACACCTTCAGGAGACAAGAGGGACCAAGAAGGATTTCATCCAACACAGATCGAAGCAAAAAGACTCTTGTTCTAAACTACTTCATGATACACTAAGTTTGGGATATTGTTGCAAGATGGACAGAATCAGTTGGCAAGACAAGCGCACTCAGCAGTCCCAATGCTAAAGACACCATTTTTGCTGTGTGGCAGTCTTTTCTTTTCAGGAATCCTGTCAGGACTGCCATCCTGCTCCGCTATGCATTGCCTCTTTTCAGCCTGCCATGCTTAACGGGGAGGGAGAGCTGCAGGGTGGGATTAAGGGGGGGGGAGGCGGTTTAGCATGAGAAGAATCAAAACTAAGCATTGGATGATAGCCACCGGCCATTGGTCACACTAAGGAATGCAGAACCATCCAGCCTGCAAAGACAATGACTGTTAGCCAAACAGTTTGTTAGTACCTACTTGGACACTAGATAACCATGGGGGAAGGTGGGAAGAAGGGGACATTAACTGTATGCTTTGGGTATGAAAACCTCAGATCCAGCTGTTTCTTCTGTAACCACTTGGCTTTTGTAAAGTGTGCTTTTGCCTGACTTTCTGTTCTAACTGACTAAGTTGGTCACTTCTATGGACAGCAAAACGCTCCATTTAGCTTCCATACTTTTGACATGGAGGCCATTTTTATCTGGGCAATCTCTTGTCAACTGTGGGCTTGCTCAACATTCTGGGGGGTTAAGACCAGGGGTAAAATTCAGCAGGGTCTGACCAGTTCTGGAGAAATTTTGAGTAGTTCAGAGAACCAGCAAATACCACCTTTGACTGGCCCCAGAGGTGGGGGGGGAGGAATGGAAATTTTGCAATATCCTTCCCCCAAGAGTGGGGAGTGAATGGGAATTTTGCAGTATCCTTCCCCTGGAGTGCAATAGCAATAGCAATAGCAATAGTTAGACATATACTGCTTCATAGGGCTTTCAG